CTGGTGATGCACGCTTAGTGGGGTGTGAATCATCTCACCAGCATGCCGGCCAGAGTGTCCGAGGTTACTAAGGTGGGCAGGGAGATGGGTACGGTCCTTACACATCTCCCCGCCTAGCTCTTAGCTACCTGGGATGCTCTGCCCAGAGAAGAGGCGACAGGCACACTGCAAACATTGTGCCGCCCCCCCCCATGTGACCCAAAGAGATACCGCCTGCGGCAAAAGCCCCAGGTTACCTCAGTATAGGAATAGCCCTGTTCCCTGAGAATGGAAAGTTATTTCAAGATTTCCTCCATGTTAAAAAGCTTGAGTATGGTGGATCTAATCCCATGGTGCCGTGAAGTTTGGGAAAGGAGTTCATGGCTGCAGATACATGGCTGAAGGTATGAATTCTCGTCAAATCGTCAAGGTTGAGATGCTAAAACAGCATTATATTTGTGTGAAAGGTGGTGTTGAAGGCCCCCCAACCATGTTTAAGGATAGCCAAAAATGCTATGGTGTGTTCCTGGCACTTATTAGAACCAGAGAAGTGGCTTGGATAAGCATCAAAACATCTTCAACATTCCAGAACAAGTCCAGTTGAATATGCAGGCCCGGATTCCCCACAAGGCCACCTAGGCCAGGCCTTGGGGCGGCAGGGAGCAGGGGGGCGGCAGCGGGGTGGAATCCCCCGACGCCCAGAACATACAGTTCCTGGCGCCAGGCGGTAAGTTGCGCTTTCTACATATAGTCCTGCTTTGGGAAGGCGGGACTAAATGTAGTGTGGGGAAGCCGCTTGTTCGTTTACAAGTGATCGCCGCGATCACTTGTAAAATGTGTGCAGCCTGTCCGTCCCGTCCCCCCCGCACCTACCTCTCTCCTCTGGTTCCATCCTCCCCCATGGCCGCCGAGTCTCTGCTCACTGGCCGCCGATGCAGGGAGCAGAGCGGCAGGGTAAAACTAACCCTGCAGCTCCGTGTAGACAGTGAGAGGGGAGAGCTGGGCTGTGCCGTGCCGTGCTCTTCCTCTCTCAGCTGTCCAGGAGTTCCAGCACAGTGCTGTGCTAGAACCCCTGTATTGGAGGTGACAGGGTCAATAAAGAGAACCTGTCACCTCCAAAGGCTATCACACAGGGGCTTGTTAGTGTTGATGGGGGGGTTGGCTGGGAGGGGGGTGCTTAGCGGAACCTGGCCTTGGGGCGGCAGGGAGAGTAAATCCGGCCCTGTGAATATGATGGACTACTACTAGCTATACCATGACCTGGATACATGAGAACCTTCACAGACATAGACCAGTGAGTTTCGACCGGTTGCTCTTCACTACTGAATTTCGGAGTTTATCGTAACTCTTAATAAAAGTATAAATCCTGGCGGGTCTCCTTGTTACCTTCTGAACTCTTCATTCTCGAAGGGAACTAGTAACCAACGTTTCGGCATGTCCTTTATGAAGCTTTCGTGTTCCTCTTCACTGCGGTCCCGGGTAACGTAGACAAGGGCTAACTGCGAGGACCGGTCCACATAGAACTCATCGGTCAGCTTGGTGAAAAAGTCCTTCAAGAGCGGAGCAAACTCCTGGCAGCGCGAGGAACCCGACTCGGCAAAGTACAAGAGGAGGACCCGGTTCTCCAGCCTCTCCCACAGCTCCTTGTCTGTTTCCAGCTCGTCCTGATCGCGGTTGTTTTTCAGCAGGACCTTGCCAAGGAACAGCTCTGCCATCCTATCCGGAGAAAGTTATCAAATATTATTTGGAGAAAAAAAGATTTACAGTGATTTTTAATGTAACAACAAAATGTCCTTTATATCCCCAGAGGATCCACCGTGACTGATTTCACATGGCGAACGACCGTTCCCAGTCCCCAAACATCTGTTGTAGGTATATGGGTTGTTCCAAGCAGTAGTGACTCACTGGACACAATGTTATATTTTGGGGAAATTTGAAATTGAATCCCTTAGTGTTGAGGGAATCCACTCATTTCTTTATTTATCCTAAAAAAAAATGTTTTTATATATACAATTAAACAAATGTTTTCACATATATGGAGTAGAAGGCAGAACAATCAAATGAATGGGCTGCCTTAAAGGAGAACTATGGGGTTAAGGCTTTTCCCCATAGTTCTCCTTAGGGTAACTACATTCTTTGAAATATATATTCCTCAATACCACAAAGGATCAATTTACTTTGTGTGCTTCAAATGCCCTTGTAAATGTAGATATTACCATATAAAACTAGCAGTGACATCATCACATAGCCAGTGCAGAAAACAGAGCTGTGGGTGGGGCCCAGAACTACAGGAGGGGGCGGAGACAAGACCAGTCACCCTGCACAAGGAAAGAGTCAGCAGTGACTGGACTTGATTACAGGAGGGGGTGGAGACAAGACCAGTCACCCTGCACAAGGAGAGAGAGCAGCAGTGAGCGGTGTGTGTCCTGTTTGCTCTGGTTTCCAGTTTTTGCAGGGAATTTGATCCAGCTATCCCAGGCCTCCTGGCCCCTTGCTGGGGTAGCCATGGAGGTCGGGGGGACTTCGTCTGGGAGCTCTCAGCCATGTCCTGAGCTGAGGAGCGAGATACCTGCTGGTGCAGGTGCTTGTAATTTATCTGCCCCTGCTGAGGGTGAAGGAGCTGACTCCATTCGGGAGAGAGTGGTCACTTGACCGGTCTTTATCACATGAGGGGGCGGAGACAAGACCAGTCACCCTGCACAAGGAAAGAGAGCAGCAGTGACCGGTCTTGATTACAAGAAGGGGGGCGGAGACAAGACCAGTCACTCTGCACAAGGAGAGAGAACAGCAGTGACCGGTCTTTATCACAGGAAGCTCCAAGTCTCACAAGATTCTAGGAGAATACACATGACTCCTATATGAGGACAATGTCTGCTGACTCCGGAGTTCAGCTTTACACAAGCCAGCCAATCAATGCTTCATTATTCCGCTAGCTGCATGTGTGCCGTGAAGCTGCTCAGCTCGGATTCCTCTAATGACTTCATTAGCTTCTTATTCATCTTAGAAAACCTTCAATCCACTTTTCAGCATTCCTAATTATTTTAATTCCCTTTTAATCTTTAAAAAAAAACAACAATATATTCATTATGTGCTAATTGTCCGCGCTTCCGCCTTTTACTGTTAGACTTTAGATGTTGAAGTTCCTGTAAATTGAACAAGACAAAAACTTTTGGCAATTACCGAAAACGAATTAATGAAACGCAGCCCGTGAAGTGGAAGTTAAAGTTAATTGGAAAAGGCCGCACGTGTTTCTGAAAAAAAGGATTTAAAGTGAAACTCCGAAACTGCTTTTACATTTGGAAGAGCTAGATCCTCTCTGAGGTTTTCACCGCTGTGTCACAGGAGTAGGGATTTGGTCTCACTTCCTGTCCTGGTGACACCGGGGCAATTAAAGTTCCACTTCTCTGACCGGGCCAAGCTGTCCAGAAAAAGTGACAGTTACGGTAGGGACAAACACTGACGGGGGCGCTTACAACACTCAGCTTTTTTATTTATTATTTATATGGCTTAAGCCTTATGCACGCGGTCACGGATCGGGGCTCACGGGTAACTGGAAACAGGTCCGTGGACCCTACTGCTGGGGACACTTAGAGAAAAGGGTGCAAGCAATGTAGGCTGACGACTCCCAGAGCTGGAGTAGAAGCCGGGAGCAGAGCTGGGGAACTGAATGAGGCAGCGGAAGACAGAATAGGCTGGTAGGCAGTGGTGTCACAAGGTGGGTGCGGGGGGGGGATGCGGCCTGCACCCGCGTGACACCAAAATGACTGACAGTCATTTTGGTGTCACCCCCTATGAAAAGTCAGGGCACTCGGTCACGGACAGTGTCAGGAGAGAGGAGGGAACCCGGCGGCACACCTCATCCCGCCGGGTGAACGTCCCCTCCACTCTCTGCCGGCGTCCATCAGCAAGATGGCCGCCGGCAGGCGTCAAAGAGACCACTGCGCATGCGCGATGACGTCACGGCGGGGTGCCACCCGGTCTCGGGACCCACCCCCAGCTGGTAGGTCAAGGTACTGGGCAGGGTGCTGCAATGCTAGGTAGGTGGCATGGGGTCCCCCAGGATGTCTAACGGCCACCCGGGGGTTCACCAGAGCTCCTGATGGTGGAGATGGGCTCGGTTGCGTGCTGACCCCAGGTCACAATCCCTAGGTCCACCCGACTCACCTAACAGGAAGGGATGATTGACAAGGCCGGAGTTCCGGAAAGGCACACACACGCAAGGGACAAAACAAAGGTCAGGGACAGACGGAGGACCAGGACTTCCAGGGACAAACCCGGACAGTTCGGGTTTTGAATGCTGTGTCCGGGTTTCATGGCTGCAGAAACCCGGACACAAGAGGTCAGGCAGACAGGAGCAACCAAAATTAAGAGAGGGGCTACTGGCACCCCACTGAAAATAGTCTTGACTGTGATATTTACATATGAATGGGCGGCACTATTTACATATGAATGAGCCGCAACTCATTCTCCCCCAAAAATATCCGTGCGTCGCTAGCGTGCTAAGGTTTCGCGAGAAGAAAAGGTGGCAACCCTAAACCAAAGGTCGGTACACGGGCAAACTTCAAGGAATTCAGGTTCATCCGCAACCAAGGGGGACTCAGCATCTAGCTTGGGGAAGCATTGCTCGGGCAGCGTGCCAGTCTCAGCATTGGCTTTTTACTGCTGTCTGTATCCTCATTAGAAAGATTTAATCTCACTTCCTGTCCTTGAGACAACAGGAAGTGAGAGGAAATCTACCCCCAGGAAAGGGAAATTCACTCCTGTAAGAGTGATCCTGGGAAAAAGTTGTCTCCACTGAAGCTTCATCACCAATCCTTGTTTCCACGACAACCCAAAATTCTCAAAATCCAATTGTCACAGGAGCAGAAAGTGAGGTGAGATCTTCTGCACCGGGGGGCACACACAGCAAAACAAACGTTACAGGGGGGTTAACCCTTCCCTATGCCATCCAAAACAAAAAAACAACATTTTTTGGGCTGGAGTTACACTTAAAAAATGTACCTGTTCCAACTTACATACAAATTCAACTTTAGGAACAAACCTGCAGTCCCTATGTTGTTCGTAACCCGGGGACTGCGCCTACTCTTAGAATAGTTACATAGTTACTCAGGTTGAAAAAAGACACAAGTCCATCGAGTTCAACCTGTAGATATAAGGAACTTAAAGGAGAACTATGGGGTTAAGGCTTTTCCCCAAAGTTCTCCTTAGGGTAACGGGAGGACACAAACTAGCGTCCTCCCGTCACCCTAAGCTCAGTATATATCCGCCTACAGCTCTCTATATACTCAGACACCGCAGCCGGAGCGGATCCCGACATCGATGTCGAGATCCGCCCAGCTGCGTGAGTGACAGCTGGCTCTGCCTATCTAGAGGCAGAGTCAGCTGTACCCGCCCCCGTCTGTTCCACCAGTCAGCGCTGGCGGATTGGAGCTAGGAATCCAGCCCCTCCCCTGTCGTGACAGGATCGAGAGGCATTAGCATGATGGGATTTGTAGATAAAGCACAGCTGCCCACCCCTGACTTAAAGTGTATTTACACTTTTGCAGCCAATTGAATAACACCTATTTATATATATATATATCTACTTACATATGAATTACTCTTCCTGAAACAATGTAACATAAATTTCAGCATATGAATCTAAACTGAAATCTGTATTATAATAGCAATAATAATAATAATACATTGTAAGGTATGAAGCCTCCTCATATTTTTTTTCTCTTTAAAGGAGAACTATGAGGGGGGAGGGGGGCTTTTCACTCACCTCATAGTTCTAGCCGACCTGTGACAATGATACTGTCAGAGGTCGGCTCAGTAGATCGGGAAGTGAGCGAACACATACCGGCGTTCGCTCACCTCTCGATCCTGTCGAACACATACCGGCGTTCGCTCACCTCTCGATCCTGTCACGGCTCTCTGCCGTGACAGGGGAGGGGCTGGATTCCCCCCGCTCCGATCCGCCAGCGCTGACTGGCGGAACGGACGGGGGAGGGGGCGGGTACAGCTGGCTTTGCCTCTAGATAGGCAGAGCCAGCTGTCACTCACGCAGCTGGGCGGATCCCGGCACAATTGTCGGGATCCGCTTCAGCTGCGGCGTCTCAGTATATAGAGAGCTGCAGCTCGCGGTATACTGAGCCTAGGGTGACGGGAGAACGCTAGTTTGTGTCCTCCCGTTACCCCTAAGGAGAACTATGGGGAAAAGACTTAATCTCATAGTTCTCATTTAACCACTTCCAATGTTTTTTAAATTCAGCCTAATGGCGTCCTCCCGTGCTAATACATGACATGAGCCAGCAGCGCACGGACCTACAACGATGTGCATATGTCAGACGTAACGACAGAGTAGTCATGTGAGTTGTAAAGAGATCATATGCACGTCAATACTGCCCCACCCCCCCAACCTTGCACTGCCCCTTTGACTTATAATGAGGCTGTTGCAGAGTCACCTACCTGTCAGGAGCTCCAGCCGACTTTATTATAAAAAGATAGGATGAGATATGTCTATTATATTCCTACTGGAAGGATCGGAGAGTGCCGGGGAGGATTTAGGATGTGGCCCCTATAAATAGAGCGGATCTAGTGCAAAGGATTCTGGGAGTGTAATCAGCTTATGTCGATGTCCGTGGACTTCAGATGTTACCTGGAGCTCAGAGCTCACTTTTGTCCGATGGCACCAAATAATCTAGAGGCAGAGCCAGCTGTACCCGCCCCCTCCCCGGTCCGTTCCGCCAGTCAGCGCTGGCAGATCGGAGCGGGGAGGGGGGAATCCAGCACCTCCCCTGTCACGGCAGAGAGCAGTGACAGGATCGAGAGGTGAGCGAACGCCGGTATATGTTCCCTCACCTCCCGATCTACTGAGCCGACCTGTGACAGTCTCATTGTCACAGGTCGGCTAGAACTATGAGGTGAGTGA